TTGCACTTCACCACAGACATAGGAATTGCCCTGGAATGCAGCAAGCTGTCTTTTACCAAATTGTGCATTGGTGTCAGCATTCCTTGTGCAGTAGCAGTCACATCAGGTGAAATGACTGTGGATTTATGTCCGAAGTCTAAAAACTAAGAAGAATCCATGAGTATTCTTTCTTTGTTTTTCAACTTTTATTGTGCAAATCCTTGTAGAGTGGGCTTGCTTGGATCTAGTATCTTTTTTTTTTTTTATATATATAACATTAGGTTGGTTTGATTTATTTTATTTTAATTATATATATTTTAATATCCAAAGTCTGTTGCTGCTGGTCTGTGTGAATATCCCCTTTTAGTGTTTGTTGTGAGTAGGGCAGGGCTGCTTGTGCCTTGCTCTGTAAAGCACAGCAGTATTTGTTTTACAATTTTGCAGGGACCTAATATTAGAAACTTAACTGCTACCTCTCTCCACTGTATTACATCCAAAAGTCTACTGCTACCTTTGTTCTAAGTGAACCCCCTGTAACGGATCACCTGGCACCCTGACTGGGTACCTCCGTTGAAGGATGCTCCTAGTGTTTCCTGAGGGCTCCAAGCACTCCAGCCGACACCATAACCACTGTAGAATCCTCCAGAGAGCAAGACAGGAACAAGCTTTTACAAGAGCTTAAAAGTGATATAGCAAGGGAGTATAACTAGCATAGCAATCCCTTGTAGCAGATTCCCCCAATAATGAGACGACACTTTGTTTTGAGGTCAAACAGAACTGACTGTACTGGCACATACAGCCTCTTTTATTCCCAATCCACAAACTTAGTACTGCCCACAGGGTTTTACAGAACAACCAATAACACATGTACATTACAGAAAACACTCCCAGCAATTATACACAAAATCCTCCCCTCTGCCTGTGATCTAATTATGGTACACAATGGGTTAACATAATTATCACAAGCAGGAAAAATACAGTTTCTATACATGTGCTATAACTTTAAAAATATACGTCCAATCTTCATAAATTACATATTCAGATTCTGCATACTTGAAATATACCCATATTCAAAAATCAGGGCAATTGGTTCGGTGGTTAAAAAGTTAAGGGAAAGTCCTATTTGACCAAATGAAGCATGGTTTTTCTGCCCAAAACTAGTTCCACAGAGTCTTCTATCCTGGAGATAATTGGGAAGTAATCCAATTAACTCCAAGGACAGAGGCAAAACTCCATTAGCCACATGGTAGCAAAATACATAAAAATATATAACTGTGCAGCTATTGCATAAAACGGGTACATTCAACATATCCCCAGATAGCTTAGATCTGAGCACAAATTATTTTAAATTTTTTTTCAATATCTTGTTTTTATTGATTTTTTGGTTATATGTCAAACAACGTTCAGATGATATTGAGGGGTACAGAAAGGAAAAAAAGGGGGGGTTAACATTGCATCGACTCATACATTTACTGCTGTTACATGCATTGAAAAATGAAATCACATCTTGCGAACTGTGTACAGAAGGGGGTACCAATGTGTGGCCCCAGGTGATATTACATGCTTGATATCATGGGTCACTAGTAAGGCTACCCTTGTCAACAAAAGGTTTGCGTGGCCCTCTTATGTCCTTGCGAAATGTCGGCTATGGTGAGGTTTGAACGGCTATGGGGCAGTTATATGGTTTTGGTTGTGCGTTGCTACGTGTCCCCGCGTCCGTGACCTGTCCGTCTGATGGCCTACTCAGCAGGCCAAATTCCTGTTACTCAGGGGTATGAGCTTTGTACCAACTGTGCCATACTTGTGCGTGGTTAGCCTCTCGTCCTTGCAGCCTAAATGCTAAGCGTTCGTACTCGTAGGTCGAGTGGACCCTGTTTCTCACCTCTTGAATAGATGGGGGATCAGGGCTTTTCCATCGACTCGCTATACTGGTCTTGGTGGCCAGTAGGATGTGACATATGACTACTTTATGCGGTGAAGTCAGCAGACCAGCGTGTATGTGTAGGAGACAGCACTTTGGGCGTGAGGGGATGTCAGCCGTTGTGGTTGTTTTAATCAGGTCTCTAACTCATTGCCAGAAATGTGTCAGTTTGGGACAATCCCAGAACATATGTAGCAGTGTGCCCAACCCGTCTCTGCATCTCCAACAGGACTGCGTTGCTGTATGGTACATCTGGGCTAGTCGTGCAGGGACTAAGTACCATCTCATCAACAATTTACAATAAGCTTCCCAGTGGGATAGATTATGAGAAGAAGATCGGGTGGTTTGGAGTGAATGCAGCCACATAGGGAAGGGGAAAGAAACCTCTAGGTCACGTTCCCATTGTATCATATACGGATGTTTTGTGGACCTGTCAGCATAGTTTATTGCATTATAGCACAGGGAAAGAGGTTTACATGTATGATGGATGGAGATACACCGTCGGCCAAAGGCCATCAATTGTTCTGCTTCACAGTATTGTAGGTTCAGCGATGTTAGTGTATGTTTGATGCGTAAGTAGGTGAATATTTCCTTGGGGGGCAGATCATATTCTGTTTGTAACTCGGGGAAATGTTTAATGCCCTGTGGCATGAACAGGGACCCTACGGAAGTGATCCCGTTCTCTAACCACGATCCCAGCGGGAGGTCGCTGGTTAGGTCGTGTAGCCGGAGAAGGGGGGGCGAAGAAAAGTGGGTGAGCTTGACCCATGAGATCCCCTGCCCATCTTTTCCAGCTGGCCAGTAAGAATTTGGTGTTGGGTAGTCCAGTTATGGGGGACTTTGTGCTCTTATTTGCGGACCATATTTTTTGGTTTATTGTGTCTGGGTATAGGCAAGCATTCTCCAGTGGCAGCCACACTGGGGGTTTGGGGCATGTTAGGACCTCTAGGCCCTGTGCCAGCACTGATGCTTTGTAGTATGCCTTTATGTCGGGGGCCCCTAGTCCACCTTTGTTCGGTGGGAGCCATGTTAGTCTGCGTGTGATTCTAGAGGGTTTTTCTTCCAGATGTAGGAATTGAAAATAGATTGGAATTTCTTGAGGAGTGTATCTGGTAATGCTATGGGAAGAGTGCGGAATAGATAAAGTATATGAGGCAAAGCCATCATCTTGACTGTCTGCACCCATCCCAGCCATGAAATTTTAAGTGATTGCCATTTGTCCAATTGTGTGTGCAATTTGTGCGCTAAAGGTAGATGGTTTTCTCGTGTGAGTTTGGAAGGGGAGGCGGTCAGGTTGACCCCTAGATATTTTAGGGATGTGTTTCTCCAATCAAAGGGATATTCGGTCTTTAGCTTTCTTATCGTTGCGTCGGCTAAACTGAGTGGTAACTCCTGGGTTTTGTTAGTATTATTTTTATAATAGGATACACGTCCGTAATGAGTCAACAGAGTCATTAACGCCGGGATTGATCTGTCTGGTTGTGTAAGGAAAAGTAAAACGCCATCTGCAAATAGGGTTAATTTTTGTGTGCCCGCTGGTGTGTTGAGGCCCGTTATCTCTGTGTGGTGTTTGATGTGGTGGATGAGCGGTTCCAGACACAGAATGAATAGCAGGGGTGATAGGGGCCACCCTTGCCATGTTCTGTTACTTATTATAAGTGGTCAAAAAAAAAGGAATGCACACCAACTGATACAATAGTATCTATCTATATATATTTATTATAATCCAAATCCAAATCATACATACAAAAATGTAACAATGTAACAGTGACCAAATAGGCAAAAAAAGCTAAACCATATATTTACATAATTTCACAAGCCTATATGGGCAGAAACACGAGTCACAAACAGTGCCCCAACGTTTCGGCTCCTCCTGGTAGCCTTTATCAAGGAGGAGCCGCAGATCACTGACTACCTGACATAGTGCTGTCCTCGTGTGTGTGTCTACGTTAAGGGTAGACTTTTTTTTTTTTTTATGTAAATCGACCGTCAGCTTGTATACCATTGCCTCTCATGTAAGAGGGGGCCAACCTCTCCACCCTGTTTCCCTCGGGGTAGGCATGGTCTTGCGGCTTGGGGTCTCTCCACGTGTGGCTTAAGTCGGGAGCAATGAAGAAAGACCTCCATGCATAGTCGGGGAGCCCCGGGTGTAACTCGACAGTGGCCATGTCCACTAAGGGCGGTGTTGTCAGTCTACTCAGTGGTTGTATAATGCGCCAGTGAAACCCCCCTGGGGTTCTCTACTGTCAGGAGATGAGGTCGCCCTCTCTTCCCTCACCCGTGCTGGCACGTAGTTCCCTATGAACCATCTAACATTTTTGCATTCATAAACATAAAACAGTATCAAGTAACAGGTAGTATACAACATACAGGCTCAGTGTGAGTATGAAGTGAGACTCTTGGTGACTGGTGCTCTATTCAGAGTGGACACTTAATTGTAATCAAGGTCTAGTGAAACCATGGGGGGTAAAGATCTGCTATTATGGGTGCTTTACTAATGGTTAGGGTGGTTTATCATAATTGGGAGCTTATCGCTTGTCTAGAACAGACCTTTATGTGTGAATGTGGGCCAAATGACCTGCTCTTCATGGCCGGATCATCAACCCAGTCACATCTGTTAACATGTATTCTATATCCTCTAAACCCTCCCGCCCAGTGCCACACACTAAACCTTAACACAAAACAAACAGTTGTGATACTCAAATGTCGGATGACGTGGTGGTCTCCAGGCATGCAAGTCCCAATTGAGAGGGGCCGTGGTGGCGCACCCATCCTCCACTCCGGCGTAAGCTTCGTCGGGGAGGTGCGTGTAGGAAAAGCCTGTCCTTGGGCATGATGCAAGCCCCACTCTTTCAGTTTTGCCATACCCGCCTCTGGTTCCAAGATTGGTACAGACCAGCAGCTTCGTTGGTTACCCCCAGCGGTAGGGAATGTTGTTGTTCCGTAGTGTCTTGGTAACATCTACGAATTCCCTCCTCTTCGCCATTGTTGCAGCAGAAAGGGCAGCAAATATTTGAATGTGTTGATAAGGCTCAGGCAGGTTGGTGAGTTTCCTTGCCGTTTAGGAGTTGCTCCTTGGCATTGTAGTGGTGGAACTGTGCTATAGTGTCCTTGGGGGTATCCGTGGTAAATCGGGCCGGTCTTGGAAGCCTGTGTACCCGGTCCAGCTCTCATGCGGAGTCCTCTGGTTTGTCGGGGCCAGGGCCAGGGCCAGGGCCTTGCATAGGGCCTTAAGATATTGTGGGAGCACCTCAGTAGTGATGGCGTCGGTGATGCCGCTGAATCTCAAATTGTTGCGGCGTGAACGATCTTCTATGTCTGCCAATTTGTGTTTTAGGGTCGTTTGTTCCTCTTCAAGCCTCTGCAGCTTATCGACCACATCGTTGTGGGCTGCACATATCTCTTCTGTTTTAGTTTTCAGGTGGCTAGTGCGGCCTCCTATGTCTGCAATATCCTTCCTCAGCTCGTTTGTAAGTTGTCGGAGGTCTGAGCGGAGTGAGGTCTTCAGGGCCTGGAGCATAAAGTGCAGGCTTTTATTTGTGACCAGCACATCATCTGGTGCTTGCAGTTCGCTGTCCAGGTCTATGTGGCATTCCGGCGATGGTGGTTGATCCGCGTGGATGTCGCCATCTTGTGTCGGCCACGCCTTGTCTGTGAGTTTCGTTTGTTTGGAGGGTGCCATGGTGCCGCCGGGCGTTGTCCATCTGGTTTGTCGGGGTTTGCAGCGGGTTTTAGTTGCTCACTTGTCACTTTGGGCCTGGTGGAGCGCGGAGCTATCACAGCATGCGACTACTCCTCACGGCAGTCGGCCTGCTGGAAATTCTTCTGAGCGCAAATTATTACTGAATGGCGCTCAGATCACATACATACAGTTCAATTGCCATGGAGCCAAAGTCTTTCACATAGTCTTTCGTTATACGAATGGGCTCCATGGCATAGCTATCTGGGGTAACACTGCTCACATAGGGAAAGTACCGAATGCAGGGGAAAATCCAGCATTTCAACATGGGGCCATAGTCACAGGGCAGGAGGCTGGCAATCAGTCTTCTCCAATGCCCAGTGGCGAGGTCGGTTTCACCACACCCCCTTTCTGTCAATCTATCTTCTTCTCCATTGGCTTACATCCAATTCTTAGTTTAACTGGCTATGAGTGTGTGCATGCACTTTTTTATGTTTAAATTTTGTTTTTTGCTTTATTTATTTGATTTAAATTTGCATCAGCTATATTTTACAAACATTATTAATTTCCATAGATATTCATGGTTGATCAAAAGTCATTAAATAATCAAACATATTATTGAATTTCAGATACATTTTTATTTTCCAATAAACCCAATGTCCAGCAAGGGCTTATATGATAAGAATCATTTCCCCTAGAGTGCATATCTATATATTACATAGGATGTCAGTGTAAAAAGTTTAACCGTCCTGCCCTTTTCTATGTTCGCGGCCATTTCATAACACTCTTTCTCGTGCTATCTAACTCACGCCATCTTGTGGGCATTCCTGGCGTATGTTGTCATAACCGTCGAACTAAAAAAAAAAAAAAAATCCCGAGCGCAAAAAAAAAAACCAGACGAAAAAGAAAAAAACCTGAGCGCAAAAAAATAATCCATCTTCACCCATGGAGGGCTCCGCAGACTGAGCTCTGCAGGGCGGGGGAAAGCTTCAAGCCATCCAATCACAGTGCTCTGTGTCATTTTACACAGTGGGAAAATTCTTCTGAATTTTCCCACGCTGTGTAAAATGACAAAGAGCACTCTGATTGGCTTAAACCAGCCAATCAGAGTGTTCTAAGCCTAATTGCAGGGCGGGGGAAGCCCTCCCCGCGGAGCCCTCCATGGGTGAAGATGGATTATTTTTTTGCGCTCGGGTTTTTTCTTTTTCGTCTGGTGTTTTTTTTTGGCGCTCGGGATTATTTTTTTTTTTTTTAGTTCGATGGTTATGATGGTTTTTTATTTGGCCTTTTTTGGGGCTGAAAAAAGAAGATTTGAGAAAAAAGAAGACGTCGAATGGTAAGTTTAATTTTATTTTACAGGTTAGTTATTTTATTCCCCCTCACTATTTTTTAGGGTGAGGGGGGTAGGTAGGGACTTTTTATTTGGGGGGGGTGGGTGACTAGGGGCTTGGGGACCCCTAGTCACCTTGGGGGGGGGGAGAATTTACTTAGGGCCCCCACCCGCTGCCAAGGGGTGGGGGCCGGAGGGGGGTGGACAGTATGTCCCCCCCCTCATTATCAATATGGCCCCCACCCACCGCACAGGGGTGGGGGCCGGGGGGGGACAATAGGTCCCCCCCTTATTGTTCATTTTAGGGCCCCCACCCACCGCTCAGGGGTGGGGGCCGGGGGGGGACAATAGGTCCCCCCTTATTGTTCATTTTAGGGCCCCCACCCACCGCTCAGGGGTGGGGGCCGGGGGGGGACAATAGGTCCCCTCTTATTGTTCATTTTAGGGCCCCCACCCACCGCTCAGGGGTGGGGGCCGGGGGGGACAATAGGTCCCCCCCTATTAGTATCTAGGGCCCCCACCGGGGGGACCCTTTTTTTTTTAACAGTGAGCAGCCACAGGCGGTATTGCGAGTAGGGGCACAATTTACTAATACTAAGTAATTTTTACTTAGTATTTGTAAATTAATAGGGGGCGGATCGAACCGCGCATATGTTCGCCATCCGTGGCGAACGCAAACACGCTATGTTCGCCAGGAACTATTCGCCAGCGAACCGTTCGGGACATCACTAATTATCAATTTCTTGTCATTTCTTTTTGATCAGGGCAAATCCTACCGGCTCCTAAATATAGTAAATTCAGGGATGTCGCCCTCATGCTAGCATTCTTAAAATCATGGCCAGACAACGAGGCGCTCTCTCTACACCAACTGTCAGACAAATTAGCACCTCTTCTCTGTTTGGTCTCCTTCCGGAGAGTCTCTGACATCAGGGCTTTTGACTTTCATGCCCTCAATTTCAATTCGGAGGGGGTGCACTTTCACATTACTAGGAGCACCAGGACCAATTAATCTACGGTGAGTTACCCTTATTTTTCGGAGAAACTCCTCCTCTAGGTAGCTGGAGGCTCCCTGTCCTCTGCTGATTTTTCTAGAGAGTCTACTTTCCGTACTCCACATATTTCTCTATCCATGCAATCTATGCGTTAAAACAGCAAATATGAAATCTCCTGTCTTGCCATAAAATTTGTAATTATTCTAACATTGAGTGACCGGATAATCTAAATTTTATTAAAGACAGGAGACTAATATTTTCCCACCCTGAAATTCTTTTACCCACCCTACTAGGTAAGTATCTCTTAGTGCCTCCATCTCTAACTAGGTGGCTAGTGTTCTCTTGGCTTGTCCTCTTTATTTAACCTTTACTTGTCAGTTGATTTATAACTTTGTATTTCTTGCATTCAATTTGAACATTAGTTTCATTGCATTTTAATTTGGTTTTGGTTTTACTTTCACGCTGAAGATCTTTTGTCATCCCTGTTTAAAGTCTCCCCTGCGGGTTGAGCACTGTTTTCCTCCTACTTGATCTTACACCCTGTTCCAAATTATTATGCAAATTATATTTTTCTCATTTACCTAAATAATTGATGTAAATAACAGTCAGCATATTTCTCATGTTATCAACTATTAAGAGTACAATTCAAATGTTATTGAACAAATCTTCTAATGATAACAGTATTTTGTTTAAACATAAAAACTTACAATGCACTGTTCCAAATTATTACGCACAGTAAGTTTAAAAACACTTTATTGGTTGTAAAGAACTGAAAATTGTCATTTGTTGTGTTTGCAGCATATTTACTGAAATCAAAAGCTATTTCAATCAAACTTATAACAACATTTTAACTTTTAAACATTTTAACAGGTCACGTTACATTTTAACATAGGACCCCTTATTTGATAGCAGCTTCACAAGTCTTGCATCCATTGAACTTGTGAGTTTTTGGACAGTTTCTGCTTGAATTTGTTTGCAAGATGTCAGAATAGCCTCCCAGAGCTGCTGTTTGGATGTAAACTGCCTCCCACCCTCATAGATCTTTTGCTTGAGGATGCTCTAAAGGTTCTCAATAGGATTGAGGTCAGGGGAGGGTGGAGGCCACACCATGACCTTCTCTCCTTTTATCCCCATAGCAGCCATTGATGCAGAGGTATGCATGAGATGGTGCATTGTCATGATTTTATTATGGAAAGCATAGTTCTTCCTTCTGTACCAGGAAAGAAAGTGGTCAGTCAGAAACTCCACATACTTTGCAGAGGTCATCTTTACACCTTCGGGGACCCTAAAGGGGCTGACCAGCTCTCTTCCCATGATTCCGGCCCAAAACATGACTCCACCACCGCCTTGCTGACGTTGCAGCCTTGTTGGAACAGGGTGACCATCCACCAACCATCCACTACTCCATCCATCTGGACCATCCAGGGTTGCACTGCACTCATTAACTGTTTGAAAATTAGTCTTCATGTATTTTTCTGCCCAATGCAGCCATTTCTGCTTGTGAGCATTGGTTAGTGGTGGCCGAATAGAAGGTTTATGCACAGTTGCAAGACTCTGGAGGACTCTACACCTTGATGTCCGTGGGACTCCAGAGGCACCAGCAGCTTCAAATATCTGTTTGATGCTATGTAATGGTATTCTAGCAGCTGCTCTCTTGATCCGATGCATGGATCTGGCAGAAATCTTCCTCAATGTGCCTTTATCTGCATTAACCCGTCTGTGCTCTGAATCAGCCACAAATCTCTTAATAGTGCGATAATCACGCTTAAGTTTTCATGAAATATCTAATGTTTTCATACCTCGTCCAAGGCATTGAACCTTTTTACTCTTTTTGGCAGCAGATTCAGTCTGTGTCTGTGTGCAGTGTCCCTATTGCCCTTAGTGCTGAAATGTTAAACATTGCAGTTCCATAGAAACTGCAATGTTTACATTGCAGCACTAAGTCTGCCTTCAGTGGTTGTCTCCCAGACAGCTACTGGAGGCGCTTCCTGCATCCAAACAGACTAGATGTGTCAGATTTCTCCTCATTGATTCATTGCTTTGCTATGGGGAGGTCTAATGTGCTCATGGCATTTGCTGCACATGCGCATTATTGCCCGCTCGTCGAGGGACAGAGGAAGAAGCAGAGCCGTGCCCCAGCACCAAGGGACATCGGTGCTGGGATCAGGTAAGCAAATAAAGAGTTTTTAATTCTTTATTTACTGACTGGGGTTAGCACAAGGGAGGAGAAGGCAGAGGGAGCTATAGTGCCTGGAACACAGCTTTGTTTTCCTGGCACTTAAAATATCCCTTTAAACTTTAAATCAGTAAAGGTGAATATAAATATATTTGCGGAAACATGTAAGTCTATAACTGTGTTCAGAAAATTGTTACTATGTTCAAGCAGTTTAAAACCAATATGTTAAATCATCAAGTATTACATAATTCTTACATAGTTTTGCTTTTGATGACCTTTGTATGAAGATTACTTTCATTTTCCCAGAATTTGACAATGATTAGCTTTTCTGAGTGACTTTAACAGCTGTGTTGTTTTTTTTATCCTTTTATTATTACTGTGACATTAAGCTGTTTAACCCCTTTCACGACGTTAGGACATTCCATGTTGTTCTAAAAATAGTGATCTTTAACACCATAGGAACTGCAAGGAACCAGTCAAAATCAGTTACGCATACAGCCCTTTA